GAGTTTTTGTGAGTACACACACACAAATACATACATATGTATACATACATATATATTATTTTTAGATTCAAATTTTCTAAATAAGTTGGGCATCCATTCATTTGTTTTGCCATCTCCTATTTGAAAAGATATTCATTTGAATTAAAAAATGCAGCTTTTCTTCATGTAATACAGATCTATATAATCAGCTCTGTTTACTGTCAGCTTATTGTAGTCTATATAGTATGTATTTTATAAGTAATAAGGCAAATTTTTTTGGATATTAACAAAACAAAACTTTACTAGTTGTAAATGCAACTAACATAAAATGTTTACCAGTGGATGACTTTACACAAGGTTCTATAAAATGAATATTTGGGGGTTTTGTTTTGTTTACTCTTTCTAATTTCTAAAATAACCCAACTATGATGCAGTAAAACTCTGCTAGTCTTCCCTCTAGCAAAGTATATAATCCTTATTTTGGCTTCTTCCTCTTGGATGACTAAATTGGAAATTCCTCAAAGCTGTAATTCAAAGCCATAGGTGACCTTAAAGAAATGATTTTTTATATGCTACCTTTTATTTTAAGGTAACTTTTCAAATGTGGACCATGCATTCCATTACGTTTAGCTGTCAAGCACGGCCTTCATTTGCATTTCTTCCCACTGCTATAATTTTGAGAACTGGCAGGTGACCAAAGAAGAAAAAATGTGCATCTACCATCTAGAGTGCAATGTAGGCTTTTTTTATTATAATTAAGTAGCATAGATATTCATGATTAGATCAAGGTCAGAGGAGAAGAACATCAGTGCCAAGGACTTAGAGGTACAAAGAATAGGAAAATAGCTTTCTAGAAGTTTTTTTTAATAGCAATAACTAAAATCTTTAAGTTTTGCAATAAAACATTTAAAATAGCTCATCTGTTTTATTTTAAAATGTGCACGCCTGGTGTGTTTGCCGTGCACATTTAAACCAGAGTTTGAAGTCTCAGTTGAATTTTTCATTTCAGTTTTCTTTTTTTTTTCAACCTCTCATTTCTGCTTCTGGTGCAGAAAAGCAATTTGAGAATTATAATGATAATAGACCTTTTTATGACTAAGTCTAAATGACACTCAAAATTATTTGTATAGAAGTCATGAGCTTTCTATCAAGCCTAATAATTTAATCCAAGGATGTGGTGTAATGTTTAGTTGTGATGTTTTCAACAGGACATCCATCTTAACATTCAGTTGTAACTAGGTTTCATGGGATAACTGCCACTTTCCTTGGGTAGACAGATTACCATGGAGTTCCTTTTCTTGCACTCTTTCATTGGCCTACCGGCTTCCTCTCAATCCAGTTGATCAACTTAGGTTTATTATTTCTCCACTTTCCTTCCTTTGTACAACTCATCTAGTACATCATCTTCCTCTTCTGTCTCCTTGGCTAGCATTTTTCCTGTGATAATTTCCTGACTGATGTGAAGCCCTAGGATCCATTATCGGGATCCTGTCTCTTCTCTGCCCATCCTCTTTCCTTAAGCTCTAGTCCCATGGATTTTAATGCCATCTATATGCCATACACTCAATTTCATATTGACTTCTCTCTTCACCTTGGAAAGCATATATTCTACTTCCTATTTGACATTTTGACTTGGCTATCTAATAATTTTTCAGTGTGCACCAAAACTCAACTTCTGATTCACCCAACTGCAAACTGACTCCTTTCTTATTTTCTCCTTCTCAATAAAGTCACCAAAATCTTTTAAGTAGAAAAAAATAGTCATCTTCAAATCTTCTTATTTCACTCCCATGCCACATAAAAAATTTTGATTGTTCAAAAATACATTTCATTCTGTTCATTTCTCTTCATTACTATTACTGTACTAGTCAAGGCCATCACTATCTCTTGCCTGTCTTCCAGTTCCTTCTATTGTCCCCTAAACTTAGTTATCTACAAAGTTACCAGGGTTCCAGAGTAAGTTTTAAAAAAAGAAATACAACATATGACATCTCTACTCTGTTTAGAACTTCTTACTGGCTTCCTGTAATACTAAGAATAGACTTCAAGTTCCTTACCTTGACCTAGGTGGTCTGACCCCTGACCTACTCATAGACTGTATTTCCTCCCAATCTTCTCATTAACTGAGCTATTGCTTCTTTGGTCTTTACGGTAGCTGAAGCTCTCCCAGCTCATTTCTACTTCATGTGTTCCTGGCATATGTTTCCTCCAGGTCTTTTTGCCTACTTCCACTGACTTAATCCTCAGTTCACATGAATACTCTTTAAGAGATCTCTTCTACTTCCTACCCCCACAACAGGTCTTTATCATATCAGCCCACTGAGCTTTTAACAGAATTTGCCTGATATTTTCCTATTTATAGTGTTTCCCCTCCACCACAAATACTCGGGAGTTCATAGATCTTGTTCACTGCTAGTGCCAGGGTCTAAAACAGTCCCTGACACATAGTAGATACTCAATAAACATGTGACAGGAATGAATGATTGCCCTGGCATTTCCTTGGCATCAATTATGTGCACTTGCTGTGCTAGTTAGAGTTTTTGACCTCATTCATACATAATCACTTCTTGTTTCTCAGTCATTTTGTTGTTATTTCATATCACTGTATCAGATATGATTTAATTTGTTTAAACCAATTCATTTTTCAAAGTGTATATTAAATTGAAGACAGTGCCACTCACAGCCTGGTTCATGGAGCAGTGTTGACTGATGAACTGTTTGTTTCATGTATGCAATAAAATAAATACAGACAGAGAGAAAACATGTAGTAATATTTTTGCAAAGTTATAACTTATGTCTGTTGAATCTAATAATAAAAATATCAGGACTTATATTTTGTATGTCTTTGATTATTTTATGTTTAAGTATTTTATTTTTGTTGTATTGCACAAATATATTAACCATGATAGTTGAGAAGGTTTTTGAAAACTTAATTTTTAACACAGTTGGAGAAGAACTTATCTGAGCTACCTCTCTTTAGAAATAAGACAATAACATTAAACTACTTAATAAAATTGAAGTATCAATAAGAGAAGCAGATCCAAGTTTATCTTACAACAAATAGTAATTCATTTGTACAAAAAAAGGATAGTGAGTTTAAAATATACTATATTCAATACAAATTCTTGAATTTTAAAGATTGGAGGGAATTTGGGGGAAATATCCTTGGAAATAGTCTTATATCCTGCAAGCACTTGCCATTTAATAATAAAACCTATTTGAAAGCATAAAGTAATTTGAATCAGTGTTAATAATAACCATACTATATACACAGCACCCATTTTGCAAGCGTTTTTAGAAAGCAGGTTGATGGGCAACAGAGAAAAGAGTGTAAGGAAATATCAGGAAGTTAAGCCACCTAGCCCAGGTCTGTTCAAATTCAGTCTCTAGACTGTTCATCAACACATTCTCAGTTCTCATTTTACTTAACTCTTAAGTAAACTAATTGAAATAGCTAGGAAAGTCTCATAATAGAGCAGCTCTTTTTGCAATAATAAAGAGCCATCCTGATTACTTCTTTACTAAAAGCACAAAACTTGGCCTCTCACAGGTACTCCATGAGAGGCTTCTTGGCCTTATCAATTTCTGAACTTTCATCTACATCTGGTAATAGTGACTAAGAAGAGGCAATAATGACTATAGATATGAGCCTATCTCCCATCAGAATGTATCCTGACATACTTCCACATGACCTAAGCATACTTCACAAAGGCCACCAAAGAGCCATAGCTGTAATCACTCTTGGTCACTACCAATTTGGGCTGGATTTGATTCAGTGACTTAGAGGTGAAAGGCTCCATATTCAATTACCAGGCCCCCAGCTTCCCCAATTAATCAAAAGCTGACATAATGGTTCCCTTATAACTCTTGAAGAAAAAAACCAGATCAAATCAATATAATCACTTTATAATCATACAAAGAAATATTGTGTTCTTTATTTAAATATAAAAACCAATGCTTTACAGCATCTAAATAAATTTGGTTTTAGTGCATTTTATCTAGGATTTTATTATAGGAAATTGAACACAGTCAAAATGATCAAACTATACTTTGAATTTCTATAGCAGCCTTTCTTGGAGAAGCTCAAACATTTTCACATTTATTATACCATTTATCCTGCAACAATAGTTTTGTGTCTATATAATTTGTGAAGGGATTTATCTGGTCAAAGGGAGTGCTATGAAAAATTGTAGCAATCATGATGGCACAGCTGAACTGCTACCTAAACGGGGGTCTCTTATCTGTCATTGTATCAGGAAGTCCTAATGGAGTCAAAGAAAAGGTAGAATCTGAAAGATCATAAAAGAAGCAACAAAGAAGTTGCAAATCACTAGCAGTAAGTGACTGCTAACATCTGAAGCAATAAAATGCTGTCTGATGCTAAAGCGACAGCCATATAAACCCAGAGGAAACTACTGGAAAAGTCAGAAGCCAACTAATTCAATCTGAACTTTTAGTGACACTATCAACATGTATAAAGTCATTTAAAGAGTTCAAAGTTTAACCCTATGTCTGAAATTAAAGGATAAAGTCAAAGCAGAGAATGAGAATACAATTCCCTTCATCTCCATGTCAAAATAAGAACCCACCCTCTACCTGCCAAGTAAAGTGAGGATTATTTATAATAATTCATATTAAAAAATAGTACCAGGTCTTTGTATTAAGGATGTAAAAAAAAGTTCAGGTTATCATATTCATTAATGAGTTAAAGATAGAGACTTCTGAGTGATTCTGAAATTTTTTACTTTGCTGTTTTGTCATTTTTCTTGCCTTTGTATTATGTTCCCATTGATCTTACCTTTTTCATTTTTTACATCACCTGTCAGGTACCACCCTGGGCTGGTCATCAGGATGCCAGAATCCTTGTCAGAAGTTTGTTCCTTTGAATCTGACTCCTTGGGTGATAAAACCTCCTCAGTCACTTTGCCTTCATTCTTGCAATTGTCATCTTTCTGATTGGCATCCTGGAAAACTGGAAAATGATTCCTACACTAATAAGTAATATTTCCAATTATTTGCAGGTCTCTCTCTCCTGACAATCTTTGGGGTATTTGTTAATGCACTGAAAATATACTGCCTGCAATATTGCCATCTTGGCAGAAATGTGACAAACTGGTTAGACCTCACCAAAGAAAAATATAGTGACCGTTGCAGTAAGCTTCCTGTGGAAGACATCAAATTTTTCTTCACCCTTCTTCCTCTCTTCATTTTTCAGCTCTTATACAGAATGTGTCTCATGCAGGTAAGGACAGGTAAAGGATACTGCTCCAACAACAGCAAAATGATTGCATGTTAACATACACATAAATACGGATCATCACCCCAACAAGCACTTTTCATATACTTGCCAATGTGTTATCCCATAAAAGCTTCTAATCATTACAGGATCTGATTTCAAGAGCAAAATGGAGCTGGGAGAGACATACCTGAGGAGACCCTGGGATGTGTTTCTTTTGTAGAGTTATAAATGTCTGTCAGTAGGTGCAGACAGTACTTCAGAGTGCATAGTCATAAAGCTTAAGAGCAGTGCAAAAAAATATCAGATCTATAGGCAATTACCAACCTCCCTTTAGTCATAGATTTTACCTTCTTCCCTCATTAAACCTTTAAAAAGTAGTGCTAACAAGTAGCTAAATTGACTGATTTGAGTACCACCTCCACTGTACTCTTAAGTACTAATGAGCAAGTGATTCTCTCCCCACCCATTCTATTAGTTCCCTGGGCAATTAGTTTCTTTGTTTCAAGGGAAAACACTAAACCCAAAGTATCTTTCATAAGTGAGATTTAAGTTTTTTAAAATGTGGTTATGGTCAAAGACTAACTTGTTTATAGAGAAAAATAAATGTATATAAAATTTTGTGAACAAATTGGGGATTTTGATCATTGCTAACTCCCAACTTGAAATTTAGAAGGCTAATGAATTAGTTATATTTATAAACCACAGAATAATAGAACTGTAAAAACCTTAGAGATCAACTTATCCAACTACTTATTTTGTTAAAGAGGAAACTTAGGCTCAAAGAAATTGAATGATTTTCGTTTGGTGGGGAATGAGGAGCACAGTAGTGCCAGGAAAAACAGAATCTACCCTGTCTCTCAGTACGATGCCTGTTCCTCTAAACCAGGGGCTAGCAAACCTCAGCATGCATGCCACATTTGATCCTGCAAGCTAAGAAAGTTTTTACTTTTTTATATGGTTGAAAAAATGTTTAAAAGACAGCATTTTTGACACATGAAATTATATGAAATTTAAATTTCAATGTCCATAAATAAAGTTTTATTGAAACGTAGCCATGCTCACTGTTTTTTCTCATTGGCTTATGCATGAAGACAGCAGGGTTGAGTAGTTTCACAGTACTCATACGTGGACATATTTACTATTTGGCTCTTTACAGAAAAGTTTGCTGACCCTTAGTCTAAATAATGAATGAAAGTTAATTTGATTTAGGAGATTTCCCTCCTGACTCGACAATAGTAGCAGGCACAAAAACAAAATACAGAAGAAATATTACCCATATGTATGAGCATTAATACCATAAAACATCTTGGAATGGGGAAATTAATAATAAGCACAAAATTACTAAGTAGTTTATAGCCAGCCCCCAAACTTTCTGTGCAAATAGCAAAAATTGCTAATTCATTATCTTCATAATACAATTACATCTGATATTTCTTTCCACTGAGTTTGAGCCTTTTCTGGAAACGATTGTATATTTTTTAATTTTACATAAATTACAATAAATTTTGATAAACTATTTTTTAGGCATCCCCCTAAGTCTAGATGCCCAGTTTAATGCAAAGAACAAACACTAATACTTATTAATCACCTATTTTATGTAATAGTTTCTAAAAGATAGCTTCACAGTATCTCATTTAAGGCCCACAGCAAGCTTACATGACGGATATTATCCTAAATCTGAAGCTCAGAGACACTAAGTAACTTGCAACTTGCTTCCCAGTCTCCCTGCTTGTGTATGGCAGAGTAGTTATCCCAATCAGGGCTGACATCAAGGACCATGCTCTGTTATTACCCATGATACTTCTCTTGCACTGGGTTAAAAATTCCTGATATAGGACTGTACTGATTCCAGAATTACATACAGCAAATGTTATGCTAGAAACTTCAAAGATAATGGTTAGACGGTATTTCTTCAGGAAGACAGAGGAAACTTCCACCAGGATAAGCTGGGGTTCGTTTTTTGCCCCCAGATGAAATAACCACTAGTACAAAGACAAAGTAACAAGAATAAAGCATCACAGAATTCCATATTTTAAATTTAGTAGCCATTATTGACCTTCAGTTGCAAGACATACATCTAAAATATGTTGATATTAAGGCTGATGAGGTTGCCATTTGACATTACCGGCCAGTCAAAGGTGAAAATGAATCTCTATTGACAGCAATTATTTCTGAATACTCAGAGACTTGTATGAAATAAAAGTATTTAAAATTTTAAAAGGGGATGGTTTTAGAATTTGAGGCAGAAGCAGAAATGATTTCAAGCTTTCAAGACACTGGAGCCTTTTCTTAGATTAGGCAATATATTAATATTGCTTCACTAAAGATTAATAGTACTTTTGCTACATTATTAAGTTAACAGATTTCTGTGTCTGTGATTCATGCCGATAATAACTTTATTCCTATTAACAATAATTCTCATTTGAAATCAGTAACAGAAACTTCCAAGTTGTGCTGAGAGCCTTTCAGTCTTTGAGGTGTTCTGCTGCCAGCTCTTTTTGTTAAAATACATCATTCATTTTCCTCTGGTTGGGGTCCAAGCTTAATAATTTTACTGAAGTAGGGCAGAACTAGCTAATGTTCCCTTTACTCTTGCCATCTGTACCCACCCAAAACAATCCTCATTTACTATCCTAAGCGTTAGATTAAAGATGAATTGTCATCAGGACACACTTTATATAAATAGAAAGAATCTCAGTGAAAATATGGTTCTGTCCTGTATTTGGGCAGTTAGCATAGCAATAGACTTGTCTTACAACTGGTGAACTCCAAAACAGCTGTACTGATTCTGGACTCTGAGTCTCCTTACACCTTGTCAAATTGTGCAATTGATTATAGAGAAGGAGTTAGAGAAGGTTTCAAATGAGAAGTTATCATCTGGATGTTTGAGCATGGTTGCTCTCCCAGAATGGTGGTGAGGCAGGAATCCTAATGCAGCTCTTGGACTGTAAGAAAAATTGTTTGGAGGAGCCATACCTTAAGGAGAAAATTTGTTTGACTTCCTCTTCAAGCCACTCAGTAGTTTTGTGTGCCCCTGGGAATTAAAGAAATACCACGTGACACTAATGACCTTGATAAATATGTAACAAAACTCATGAAATAGAAGAGTGGAGAAATGCCACTTTGTGACACCATGTCTTGGTTCTGATATCATAACCAGTTACCTTGAGACTTGGAAAACACAAAGAGGCTCTAAGTTAGTGTTAGGGTTTTGGTTAACATTGGGGTTATTTTTTAAATGAAGAATTCTAACACTACATTGAGGGTATTGGGTGGAGCACAGTGATTTTTTTGTTTTGTTTGTTTAAATTTATTGTCTTTTACTTTATCACAAAAAACCTTTTTTATGTAGTTCCCTTTGTGGAATACTGATATCACACAGTTAGTTTAAAAGAAGAAAGACACAGGGTGGTTTTCTTTCTTTCTCGTGTAATTTGGCTCACATAGAAACAAGGCCTATCCAGGGAGCACAAAATGACAGCCTATAACAAGTAATATGTGTCCACAGTGGGACCCTCTTCTTAGGAAAAAATCATTCCTATCTATTTTGACACCAAATTAAGTGCTATTTAAAGAATCTATTGAAGTTCACATCTTTTAATAAGGGTAAAAACAGATATCCATAATATTTTCTACTGGTTTTCATTAATATCCTTGAAGAAAAATTATTTTGTTTATGTGCAGAACTTAAGTTATTTGATTTTTTTATGTGCTACCCTAAGCATATAATTAGGGCCACCATTACTTTCCATAATTTTAGATAGGCTAAATGGCAAAAGCGTCTTCCATAAAGAATCTGTACTATTGTCAATAGACTAAATAGAGCTCTTACTGCCACAGATGAAGACTTCTTATCACCTCATAATTGGCATCTTGAAAATCTGGGGAACATCTAGTTCATCTATCACAGAATCCAAGCAAGGGGGAAGGCATCTAGCTGAGGGTGCTTTCTTCAAAGGTAAATCACTGTCTTAATGCATGACTGCTTCCCTCTCAAACACAGATTCCTTCAGGATATTATCTGCAGACCATGAATTCCAACCTGAACTTGGATGGATTTCTTCTGCCAATTGCAATAATGAACGCCATCAGCATCCTACCATTGCTAATTCTGGCTCCTTTTCTGGAGTATTTCAGCAACTGCCTGGTTCCCTTTAAGAGAGATGGACCATTTCTGTCAGCATGCATTAGTAAGTACAAATTAGCATGTGAAGTGAATTGTTTCACTACTTTTTATTTTTATTTTATTTTTATTTTTTTTGAGTTGGAGTCTCACTCTGTCACCCAGACTGGAGTGCAGTGGCCGCTCCTGGCCACCGCAGCCTCGACCTGCTGGGCTCCGGCGATCCTTCCGCCTCAGCCTTCCGAGTAGCCGGAATTACAGGCATGCACCACCACACCCGGCTGATTTTTTGATTTATTGCAGAGATGAGGTCTCGCTGCCCAGGCGGGTTTCGAACCCGCGGGCTCAGTCAATTCACTCACCTCAGCCTCCCAAAGGCGAGGGATTACAGGCTGAGCCACCGAGCTACTTTTTAAAACAAAACTCTGCAAAGATCCCAACTAGGCACACACTCCTGAGTAGGGTTAGATTTTGACAAATTGGAAAGAAGATGAATTAGTGAGTGATAACATCGAGCTTCTCAAATCTTCTACCCAGACATGTGTCCAGTATTCTTGCCATCCTTTTAAGTCTTCTAAAAAGACATACCCGATACAAAGAAATAGTAAAATTTCCATCACCACCAAATAGTCTTCCTTTTTGAGTAAGCAGCCCTTACTTCTAATCAAAAATAAACACAGGCAATAAATCTCCCAAAACAATTTTAATTCCTGAACCAGTTGCAAAATTTATTAAAAATTATTATTGTGATTTAAGCTCCAGTAAAACACTTCTTCAAATAGTAAAGTGTATAGTATTAATAATTTTAAAACATTTTTTAAAGTTAAGCAAGTTAGGATATTTTACTCAAAACACAATCAACAAAGCACAAAATAAAAATTTTTTTTGATTGAACTAGGAGATAAGGAACCAAAGTTCATTTTGATCACACTCTCCACTGCCTGTGTTCCCTTAGAAACCTTCAGGGAACAAGAGAACAAGTGCTGGTACAGTAAAACTAGTCTCAATCTAAGAATCAGAGATCTGGTTTTTGCCCCTGCTCTGCCACTAAACTGCTCCTGGTGACTTTGAAAAATCCACCAAAGCTTTTCTGTCATTAGCTTGCTTATTTTTTTTCATTGAGGGTCATACACTAGATAAATTTTGTTACTGATGTTCTGTAAAACTTTTCAAATCACTCAGGATGACATCAGTGCCCAGAACATGTCCTGACACATAGTGAAAGCTCTATAAATGTCAGCTATTATTATGAGTCATCATTTGCAGGGAACACATCTAATTGTTTGGTGAGCATAAACAGAAAACAAAAGGAGTTTGAAAATTTTGAGAAATATTCAGTGATAACCTAATGTCTTATCCTCTACTTGAAAAAAAATTAAATTGAAATCGTCAGGGTCAGATATATAGAGGACTCTCTTCTCTTAGTTAGCCTGTTCTTATTCTTAATCTCTTCTTTTTTAACCCCTATGGAGATCATTCAGTCTTCTAGTCACTTTTTGCTCCTTCTCTGTTTATAGATGTTACATGTTAGTGTGTGTGCTTCCTGTGATTTATCAAAGCCATCAACCAAATCACTCCAGATCTCACTACAGGATGAGTTTGTTTTTGGTGAGAACTAAAATGAACAAATTCACCTTAGTTTGTCTTATCATCTTCAATTATAGAGGCCTTTAGTGCATAACCTTTTTTAATTGATTTCTTAAGCCAGTAACCCCAACTTGATTTATTACAATAGGCTTTGCAAACTATAAATCTTAATACGTTTTAAAGATTAAATCTTTAAAAAAAAAACCTTATAATCCTAAAAAGTACTTTTTTGTCTGCCAGCATAGAAATCCAAAGACCAGTACATATTTAATGAATGCCCAGCATTATCATGGGCACTTTGAAGACACAAAAGGAAAGTAAGATATAGTAAGTATATATCCTTAGCAACTGGATGTTTTACTGTTGAAACAGAATGATTGCAGGACAAAATAGAAGTAAATTCATATTGTAAAATGTCAAAAATCTTGGCAATCTTGTGCAGTATCATGAAACATCCCAATCTGAGCTCCTAAATCATGCTTACTTATTACAAATTTTAAAATCTGGGAAACTTTAGGAAAATGTACTATACAACTTGGCTAAAAGAACTACATTTGAAATTTCTCCTGAAAATAAAAAACATCTTAAATTCACCTTAAGTATCAGCAACTTTCTTTTGGACAATTCTCCATTCCTGCATGTTTGAAATCATGTCTATTTCTTTTTTCTTTTTTTCTTTTTTTGAGCTGGAGTCTCACTCTGTCACCCAGGCTGAAATGCAGTGGCACACTCACGGTCACCCCAGCGTCTACCTGCTGGACTCTGGGATCCTTCCGCACAAGTAGCCAGAACTACAAGCGCGTGCTACCATGCCCTGTTAAGTTTTGATGTAATGTAGAGACGAGGTCTTGCCAAGTTGCTTGGGCTGGTCTCAAACCCGCAAGCTCAGGCAACTAACTCACCTCGGATTATGGAAAAAAGTTAGAGTTATCTAATATATTGTTTGATGTTAATGAATTAAATATTTCCCTTCAAAACTGGTAATAAGACCTTTTGCACAGGAAAAAGGAAAACCCAGATTTACTTCAAAAGGCATTGAGCTGTGTTCCACTGAGTACAGAATACTAACTTCAGTTGTTTCTGAACTACACTCCATTTATTCATTCATTTGCATACTCGCATAATATTTTGCTGTGGGAATATAAAAATGTGATAATATGCATCTTTTAAACTAGATATTTGCTTAAATTTTCTACTTTCTAGTTATGATTATGGAAGATTAACAAGTTTTATCAGGACATAAAAGTACAAACCTGGGGTACTTTTTTGTTACTAATTTACATAACTGAAATATTCTAATATTAAAGTTTCCTTTCACTTTGAACTCAAGCGCCTGAAAATGTGGATGAAGTATATATGAATTGTGAATGAACATATGTGTATTTATGAGATCCTAATTTGAACATAGGCACCCTCATATACATACTGTATTTAACTTCGTGATAAACCATCATTTAATAGATAAGGATCACCAAGATAGTGTCATGTGAATTCAGGTCTTCAAAGGCTATTACATTATTATGATGATGATCATTATTATTATTATTATTGCCAGCTATACATAGCTATTAAATTATAGTAGTTATATTACCAGTGTTAATTTGGAGCTCTTACTGCTGTTTCTGATTAATACTATGAAGTAAACAAAAATTCCCTTTGTCACTACAATGGGCAGCTACTTCTTATTCACTCCCTTCCACTTTAGTCATTCCCCTTCCAGGACTGTCAAGTTTAAGGTGGCAGATGGTGAAGACAATGCCAATGCCTAGCGTTTGACATGCAAAATCACAACTCAGACCAAGAGTGAGAGATGTGGAAATCTCACCCAGCTGGTCAAAATAGATTTTTTTTTTTTTTTGAGTGGGAGTCTCACTCTGTCGCCCAGACTGGAGTGCAGTGGCCGTTCCCGGCCACCGCAGTCTTGACCTGCTGGGCTCCGGCAATCCTTCCACCTCAGTCTTCCAAGTACCTGGAACTACAGACGCGCACTACCATGCCCGGCTAATTTTTTGATTTATTGTAGAGATGAGGTCTCACCAAGTTGCCCAGGCAGGTCTCGAACCCGCGGGCTCAGGAAATTCACTCACCCCAGCCTCTCAAAGGTGCGGGGTTACAGGCTGAGCCACCGAGCCCGGCTTAAAAAAAATTTTTTTTTGAGTTGAAGTTTCACTCCACCACACTGGAGTGCAGTGACATGCTCATGGCCACTGCAGCCTTGACTTGCTGGGCTTAAGTGATCCTTCCACCTCAGCCTTCCAAGTAGCTGAAACTACAGGCATGCGCCACCACACCCGGCTAATTTTTTGATTTATTGTAGAGATGAGGTCGCGCCAAGTTGCCCAGGCGGGTCTCCAACCCGCGGGCTCAAGCAATCCACTCACCTCAGCCTCCCCAAGTGCCCGATTACAGGCTGAGCCACCAAGCCCTGCTAAAATAGAAACTTAATAAAGGAAAAAGAAACTTATTTTCTTTCTTTAGTTCATAAACAATGCAATGAAAAAGGGTTTTTGTTGCAAGGTTTGACATTCCTAAGTTTATCACCAATGGAAGTCAAGAAGTATGTCAAAGTACTAACTATAAAAAAATCTCTAAGCCTTCCAGAACCGTGAAAGGTAAAAATTTGATATGTTCGGAGTGTCTTGTTAAGACTGTGTTTTCTTAATATTACACTTGAATAGATTTATCTATTTAAGTCAACCTTAATTCACTAAAAATCTAGAACTAGTGGTTACATTGTAATTTATCCTCTGTCATAATTGGGCATACTTCATCTAAGCTTTTTTCAGTTCAAAAATGTTTACACCATGAGTATTTCCTTTCCTTAACATTAATTAAAATCCTGCAGTATGTGGCATTCAATTGTTAGTGCTGACACACACAAGTATTAATCTGACTAAAATTAGCCTAATTAAGATTGTTATTAAGTCTTACACAAAGCAGAAGTGTACAACACAGTAGGTAGCAATTATCTTGGCTTTTAAATAACATTTAAGTTGAAATGCAGATGAAGTATATTCAAATATCTGCCAGACCTTCCTCTTTAAAATAAAATCCTGAAAATTCACATTCTAACTAAAAGTCTTTTTTGATGCAGTTACAGTCAAATATTGGTCCCTTTATACATGATCAGTAACTTCTACTAGTTCTAATAATTGGCAATCATAAAAAGTTTCTTATTGGTTGGAACCAAAGTGATTGATAAACTAAAAACCATGTCAGGGATCCAGTTATTTTGCCTGAGAGTAATATTATCTCAGGCAATTGTTTTCTCTATAGTTTTCAAACTTACATATTTTCCCAACAAACATCATCACAGTGTATATCCATTGTGAAATACATGACAGAAGGAACTGTATAAATACAGAAAGAAGTAAACTGTAAATATCTGGACTGAATAAGTCATTCACTGAGTTGTTAATTTGTTTGATAAAAGCACATTAGTGTTTGCAATTCTTAAAGGTAACATCAAATTGGAATTAA